TCGACCGCCAAATGGCATTTTTTAAAACTTTTTTTCTGGATTTCCTATTTCAAGAGCGCTATCTATTTTAAGACCGATCAACCTATTTGAATGATTAAAAAAACATGATGGAGACAAGTGCTGATTAGTTTTTTTTTTGTAAAGACACTTATATAGTTCAAACAAATGTAACACGGATGAAGCGATTTGAATAATTAAACAAACATTCGATTCGTATTGATAAGGAGACGTGCTGATTAGTTTTTGGCAAAGGCAGGTCTCGCCGTTCCAAACTTACGGGGCAAAAAGTGCCAAAAACAGTAACTCAGTTTTTAAGAGAACGGAGCGTCCGATTTGAATAATTCAAAAAACATTTTATTTGTGAAGAACTGATCACAAGATGAAGAACTGATCAAATTTTCATGAAGGTCTAGCGGTTTCGAAGATCTAGTAAAAGAAGTAAAAAAAATGCCATTTGGCGGTCAAAAATGATCATTAGACATATGCACATCAAATTATCAGATAATTTATAGAGATTTTAACAATAAGTATAAATTTTGGTTGCATTCCTATGGGTTCCGTACCAATGTTTATCCGTTAGGGAACGGCGCGGCGCTTATGCGCTTCGATATTTCGTCTCTATGCAGTTAGAGCAGTACGATCACTTTGAAAAAAAGTTCAGAATTTCCAAAATATTTTAAAATAAATTTTTCTTCAAAAAGTCTTTTTCTAAAAAAAGTAAATTTTTATCAAAAATTTATAGTTTCTCAAAAATCTAATTTTTGCAGAGTAATTTTTTTTTCAAAAATGTTGATCTTTTAAAACAAAAAATTTTTGATACGGGAAGCTCCAGCAATTTGCCTTAAGGCACGATGCCATCCGCCCCACTAGTTAATTTACTATTCAGTAGAATCGCTTATTTGTCTCCAGTTAATTTGTTTCATTAGTCAGTAGAATCCTCTGGTTCTAAGTTCGTCTTCTCCTATTTTTTTTATTAGAGCATTGAAGTCTATCAAATCATTTTATATCTTTTTGGCAGAAAGAAAGCCTATTTATTTTTTTGGGTGGTATAAGATTGGCGACCTGTGGTCTGTCCGCCCCGACCACCCCGACCGCCGTCGGCGTTTTCAAGGGCGCCGAATTATCGATCCTTTGCATATGTTTGTTGTTGACTATAACGACAGTGAGAAGAGAAAAAAGGAGACGAAGAAGGAGTTGAAGGATTTTACTAAATAAATCATAATGACCAAAAAAAATATAATGGACAAATAACTTTATGTAGGTACATATGACGAGCAAACCGAACCTTGACATGAATGTAAAAGAAGATTATCTACTGATGTGTTAATTAAGCAGAGCTAGAAGCTAAAAAGAGGACTTTTGTTTGGCGGTAAAAGAGGAAATTTTATAGCAATCAGAAAGATTTGAAAAAAGACTCCATTATCGACCAAAAGCTAAAACTAGTGGTGTATGGCATCGTGCCTTAAAGCAAATTGCTGGAACTTCCCGTACCGTAATGAGAATATTCGAGAAATTTTAAACGTTTTCAAATATATTATTACAAATACTGTAACTTTCATTAGTTTTGCTATCTTGTCGTATCTGAGAAAATCAAATGTAAATCATAAATCAATTTATCTCCAGAACATTAGCAATCGTCATTTCATTTCGAATTCAATTTCAAAAAAAAATAGTTGCCTAATTTGCACAAAATTGAGAAAGTGCTCCCGTATAGTAACAGTCTAAACGCATTTGCAAATAATTCTGTACCACATTTTCACTTATACTGTGCTTAGCTTGGCCGCATTTTCAAATTTTTCAATAGTTTCCTCTATCTATAAGCTAAAAAGGGACTCTACTGACGAACAAATCAAAATAGAAATGTATAAGCTAAAAAAGGGGACTCTACTGACGAACAAATCAAAATAGTACTTCAAAAGAAAGACGAATGGAAATAGTATACAGAAGATAAAAAAGGACTCTACTGACTAGCAAACAGAATACCAACTAAGAACTTAAGATAAAATAGACTTCACTAAGAAGAACAAAGAAAGAAAAGAAAGGACTCTACTAAGAAGCAAATTGAATACAAAGAAGAACTTAAGTGACTCCATCTAGAAAATAGTATCCAAAAAAGGACTCTACTGACTAGCAAATTGACCATCAACTTAGAAGATAAAATAGACTTCAGTAAGGAGCAAATTAAACAGCACACCAGAAGGAAAAGAAAGGACTTTACTAAAAAGTAAATTAAATGCAAAAAGGACTCTACTGACTCATAATAATGTCCAACCAGAAAATAGAAAAAAAAATCTACCGACTAGCAGATTAAAGAGCACTCTAGAACAGGGCTTCTTAAACTTTTGTCATTTATGAGCCCCTTTATGATTGCAAAATTTTTGACGACCCCATTTATGATTGCGAGTTTCTTGATGACCACAAATATTAAAAAAAGAAAATAATATTTTTAGATGATTTACTTTTTTGGTAACAATATGCATATGAAAATGCTCTAGATAAAAAATGACTTTACTAATTAGTGGTGTCAAACAGAAATGACTCTACTGATTTTTAAATTAAATAAAAACCAGAAAATGAAAATAGGGCTCTACTGACCAACAATTGAAAATAGAAATGTAGAAGATAGAAAAAGGAGTCAACTGATGAGCAAATGAACATAAAAACCTGAGAGATACAAAAAGGACTCCACTGACTTTACTGGCCATTAAATAACAATCGAAACCTACAAATTGAAAAGTAACAAAGTACACAACAGTATTTTGTAGGCTGATTTAATAGCAACCTAGAAGATATATAAAGGACTCTACTGACGAGCAAATGAAAATAAACCCTTCAAGATGAACGAAAGACTCTACTGACTAGTAAATTTAATAGAAAAATTTAATAGAAATCCAAAAGGCGAAAAATTGATTAAAATTAAATAAAAATCCCCTATGACAAATATACTGAATAGATGAAAAGGACTAAGACCTGATACTGAAGAGCAAATTAAACAGCATCCCAAAAGATAAGAAAGAATTCTACTGAGTAACAAATAAAAATAGCAACTTCGAAGACAAACTTTTCTGCCAGACAAACTAAATAGCAATTTTCAAGACAAAAAAGAACTCTACTGACGAGCAAATTCTAAAAGACCAAATGTAGATTCTAATTCAACTCATTCAATGATCTTTAAATCTTTTCATTTAAAACCAATTAACACTTACGCATAATTATTCCGTTAACTAAAAAATTACTATTCCGAGCACAAAAAAACCGCTTTTGTACGAAATCAAATAGTGGACGCTAATGGACTGTACAAATAAAAATTTATTAGACCGATTTGAATATTTTAAAATCTCCATTCTAATAATATTCGGTATTTGCTTAAATAATTTCTGGGAGCAATAAAATCGATTTGAAAGGCCATTATGGAATAATAGATTAGAATTTAAATTGTTGACGATAGTTTAAATATTGGTAAGTTGATAGAACAATGGATGGGTACCACGTATGAAAAAAATTATTTTGATAAAAGATACAGAATAAGCTTACGAATAAAATGGTATATAAATGGTTAAGCGTGTTCATATAATTTTCTCAAGATTTTTCAGTTTTTCTTGAATTTTACCACTGCAACTTGCCTGTAGGCCGCACCGTTAGGAATTCGAAGTTGGGATATATGGAAAAAAAACTAAGAATTTTGATACCTTTCTAACGATGTATCTTATATATGATGTATATGTATCTTATATATAAAAATGGAGCTTGATAAAATGATTAAACCGATTTGGCCATTCTTAGTCCTGAAAAATTCATGCTAATCAGTAGGTTGTCGGAAAGGTGAGATATTATTTCAAAATCGCGTACAAACTTTACATTTTTATTTGAAAATTTTTGTAGAAGCGTAATTTGATTAAATCAATGTATGGTGGCTAATACGTCAAATGTCAAACGTTTTTGACAGATGATGTTCAATTACTTTTAATATGATGTTTTACGTGAATATTATTTAATTATGATTAAATTGTAGTAAGTAGGTTTGTTTGTAGTTATATTTATACATAGAAACATTATTAAACGGATCGCAAGGGTTACTAGAAACTCAAAATATCAACTTTTTTGAAATGTTAATTTGAAAATGTACTTTTTGGCATATTTTCTCAAACACGGTGCTCTGAAAGATCTCATTTGTATAATTATATAGTCATTGGTATTTATAAAACATTTTCTAGGTAATATTATTTTTTATTTGTGTTGTTTAAATTCAGAACCTAAATTTGATATCAATCAAAGGGACATTTTGTCGAATAACATTATTCCAGTTATAATGCCCCAAAATTTATCGAAGAATAGATAGTAATATATGAAGATCGAGGGTTAAAAAAGTCACCACCAGTGACAAAAAACAGTAAACTTAAGTAATTAAACCAGTAAACAATATTTGAAAGTAGAGGGAAAAGATGTATAACCAGCTATAACCTTAATTCTCATGACTTTGCTATCGGAAGATAAACAGTAATCTTTGAAAATCCATAATACAAGATTTTCTTCCATTGGTAGTTTTTTAGCATTAGTTAAAAATGTAATTATTTTATAAAATACCTTTAAAATTAAAATAAGACATTAAACCTGTTTGCCACATGGCCGTTCCAAGTTACTTCGCCTAGATAAAAAATATTGAAAGACAGAAAAAAGCACTTCTACAATGATGAAGTAGCTGGCAGTTTTACTGAAAGTAGTCAGATAATTCTCCAGTAAAATTGGACATTGCTACTGCACGACATCAGGTTGTCAAGACGGTGCGCTTAGCCACTACGCTATAGTACACTCATAATACAGATATACAATTTACATCATTTTGATATACTCGTTTACCCTAATATTTAAATACCTGAATAGAGTTAGTTACATTAGATTCAATAAAAATACTATCTTTTTGCAGCATAAACCAAAATCATAATATCAATAATGCTTTTGGACGGCGCAAAAACATTGACCAAAAAATCTTTTCCTCTTACCAATTTTGGCCAAACTGGCAAACAGTATCCAAAGCCCAATGATGAAAGGCGTCTGCACCCTTATGAACTCGATCGTGATGATGGGGTAGCTGTCCGGGGGCGCCTTGTGGTGCCCGTCGAGTGCATGGGCGTGCGCGTCTCCGTCGTGCGCCCCCAGCTCCTTCGACAGGGCCGAAGACATCACCGGGGTGACGTCCGAGGAGTCTTCGAAGGTTGTCGTCGATGATGACAGAGTCGTCGAAGCCGACGTCGTGGACGACTCCGAGGGCGTCGACCTGGGTAAAGGATAATTGTTAGTGATTAATTGATAAAATATAATTTGGGAGTTCGAATCATAGGCATTACACTACATGGATTGCTAGTCCTCATATGTATATAGTGCTCAAACATAGAAAGGACTGTGACGTCACATGTCTGAGCGAACGTTGCCGACGACAATCGCAGACTCTCCCGATTGATAAAATGTCACATGTCTTATTTTGCGCTCGACTAGCAGTCCATGTAATATAAGGTCTATGGTTGAAAGTACTTACCTTCCTGTCGATTGGTCGCCTTTGCCAGAGTCCAGTGCTGAAACCACGGGGGCCGCATTGAGCTGACGACCCTGAAAACAAAAACAAATAAAGTTATTGTATTGTATTCAATATATCGATATTTTCAACTTATCAATATTTCTACTAATCGCTATTTGCAATTTCTATGAGATTTGGTAAATTGACAAGTTACGGGCCGTCCATTAATCACGTGATCTATTTTTTTTTAAAGAGATTTTTGTACCCCCGTCTCTCTCGGTGATACTTCGTGATATGAAATTAGCCTCCCCCTTCCCTCACCAAAACATCACGTGTATTTTTAGTTACAAAAAAAAATTCCTAACGCATTTACGAAAAAACGTAAATTTTTTGTTTTTAATGTGAAAAATAAAATCACGTGATAGCTTACTAAAGGTGATAGCTTACTACTCCTTAGAGGGCGTCCATTAATCACGTGCGCGAGTTTTTAAAGATTTTTAGACCTCCCCTCCCCCTTGATGATACATGGTGATATTCAAAATTATCCACCCCCCCTCCCCCACCAAACGTGTATTTTTAGTTACCTGATACATCTGTAAAATTTTTAATTGTTTTTGAAAAAAATTGATTTGTTTAAAAAAAATCAGTTAAAAATTAAATACACGTTATATCTTACTAAACCCCTCCCTCCTCATGTGATATTTTGTCAAACCCCCCCTATCTGTAATATATATATCTGTAAAATGTTTAATTTTTTTTTGAAAATGTTTGATTTAAAAAAAAAAAACAGTTAAAAAATAAATCCATTTTATATCTTACTATACCCCTCCCTTCCCCATGTGATATTACGTGATTTTTTGTCAAACCCCCCCTCCCCCTAAAAATCTCACGTAATTAATGGACGCCCCCCAATATTTCCATAAATCGATATTTGCTATTTCTATGAAGATTTGGTAAATCGACAAGTTAGGGGCGTCCATTAATCACGTGATCGATTTTTTAGGGATTTTTGAACGCCCTTCTCTCTTGATATAGTATAACCCCCCCTGCCCCGTGTTTTGTAAGTAAAATAAACATCACGTGTATTTCAAGTGAGTAAAATTTTCCGATCGATTTTTTCAAATTTACGAAAAAATGTAAAATTTTTGTCTTTTTTTTTGAAAATCTAAGTGAAAAATAAATACACGTGATATCTTACTAAACCCCTCGTGATTTTTCGTGATATTTTGTAAAACTCCCCCTCCCCCTAAAAGCCTCACGTGAAATGGACGCCCCCTTAAAATCAAAATTTTCAAAATTTCGATATTCAATAAAATAATATTAATGATAATTTCCATAACAAAATGCTGATACTTTCCATATCTCAAACACAATTACTATGATGAACGTCGTCTATAGGCGACATACGCTTGACGTCCTGTGTGTACGAGTGTCGTCTATAGACGACATCCAATATGTCGATTTTTAGAATATTGAAAATTCTAATTTGTTATTATGGTTTATAGAAGCTTAATTTTTATCATCTTCCCATAGGGTAAGTTAATGTAATCGTTTAAAAATCGAAATTGAAAATGTTTGCATATTTTCACGTTTCAAGAGTTTCTGAATATTTTGGAATACCTTAGAAAAAATAGATATGTGTGTATGTATTTTTCGTCTACGTTTTTAGGCGAACGGATCAACCGATTTGAATGATTCAAAAAACATTCGATTCCTATTGATAGAAAGATGTGCTGATTAGTTTTTGGCAAAGGCAGGTCCTGCCGTTACGGAGATACGGAGCAAAGAGTGCAGAAAATAGAAATCGAGTTTTTGAGAGAACGGAATATCCGAATTGAATGTTTCAAAAAACATTCGATTCCTATTGATAGAAAGATGTGCTGATTAGTTTTTGGCAAAGGCAGGTCCTGCCGTTACGGGGATACGGAGCAAAGAGTGCAGAAAATAGAAATCGAGTTTTTGAGAGAACGGAGCATCCGACTTGAATGATCCAAAAAACATTCAATTAGTAATGATTGGGAGAAGTGGTGATTAGTTTTGGGAAAAAGCAGGTTCAGCAGTTTAGGAGAAAAGAGAAGAGTGCAGAAAATAAAAATCGAGTTTTCAGAGAACGGATCAATCGATTAGAGTGATTCAAAAACCATTCGAATTCTATTAAAAGATAGATGTGCTGATTAGTTTTTGGCAAAGGCAGGTCCAGAAGTTTCGGAGATACGGAGCAAAATGCGCAAAAAAATGAGCCGAAAATTTGGAAACTTTTTCTACATTATCAATTTAAATAAATCGATTTATTCGTATTATTGTTAAATTTCGATATTTATTATAAGAATTTATTATCAGAATTTCATTCAAGATACCTTGCTTGTCTATTAAACTAAATATCGATAATTTCGAACTATCAATATATTAAAATATCAGAAAGCATTATATTAATATTATCGATAATTTAGATACTTTAATATTGTCTATAACTCTATATATTCAAGGAAATCGATTTTAATATGTCATATCTGCATATTTCGATAAATCCATATATTGTTTCACTGATATTTGTTAAATTCGATATTGAGTTTTAAATTTATCGATAAATTAAAATGGTGTTTTTCAATATATCGATAAATTATTTTTTATCTTTTAGGCTATTACAATTATCAATATATCGATATTACAAATGAGCAGTAGATTCACAATGTCGTTATATATCTATTGTAGATTTATCTAATATTTATTATTTCTGTACATATTATAAATTCTTCAATATTAATTTCAATATGTTTATAGAAAATAAACAATATTTAAACAGATAATTAATCGGTATGAGCCCACAAATTCATATTTATACTTATATCGATATCTCAAAGCTTAAATAGCACTTCAAACTGCGTTTGTATTAATTATGTACTAGATAAATTGATGAAATTTTGATGTAATAATTAATTTGCGACAAATTGTTGAAATTAATTAATAAATTGATTAATTTCGGATTGGCAGTATGTGAATAATAAATTTTCCAATATTCTAAAATGAAAACTTTGACCAAAAAAATGGAACTGTACTAAGAAGTGTTTGTAGGAAAATTTACATTCAAGTTGTTTTCTGGTTCGAAAACCGATTCTCGTTAGCTGGAACTAGTTTTAATTCAAAGTCATTAATATCGGAAAATATTAGCCGGTCGACAATTCGAGCTGGTTTAATAATACAGGGACGAACTAGAAAAAAAATTAATAACCTAGTTAGTTATAAAATTCTACCACCGTACAAGGAAAAATTTGCTCATGAATAACAAATCAGAGCTGATACATTGTAAAAAATATTTCATTTTTCATACGAAAGGAGCAAAAAATACCACGAAAAACTACCAGGTCACCCTAACAAATATTTAAAAGAATTGAGCGAGGAATATCCCACACAAAGATTGAAAAAAAAATGGCCATATGATCTTAAATAAAACAAACAATAAAAAATAAGAGTGATATCTCATAGGAGATAATCTCTTAAATGTATTAACACCCAGCAAATTGTCTTAAGAAATGTATATTATTTTGATTGGCAATAAAACTATGTAATATAAAAAAAATGTTCATACATTTTTTTTTATTTTAAAATCGAGACAAATTCAAATATCAACTGTAATATTAATAAATAAAAATTCTCCATGCGCGCTCACCCTTATAAAAAGTCCATGCAAATTCCCATTGTAAGGGTCCAAACACACTGAGGATTTTGACAATTTTGCAAATAATTATAAAATAATTTGACTTTTATCCCAAAACTTGCTCTGTTATCGTACTACACATTCTAAATAAGACAATAGTAATAATAATTGTTGTTTGTAAATAATAATAATACGTTTTCAATTATTCCCGAGAGTCTACTCCTGTCACAACATCAATAACTGATTAATTTATGTCTTATTAATTAATGGAACTGATGGACGAATGTATTCCGAGTTTATTACTGAATATTACGTCGTGTTTATGTATGTATATATGTATGTATGTAGATGTGTGTTTGGCTATAATTATAAAAGATGATAAATTGCCAATTTAGAGGCACGCGCCCTGTTTTTCTGACGCCGAAGAAACTATGAAGTAATAACTCTCCTTTGATCAGCGTCGTTTTGATAATTGAATTCTAGAATATGGATTTGGTAGATTCTTGTTTGAAATAATATCAAATTGTATCGATAATTAAAGTTATATATACATGTTTTTATATTTTTTATATATATTTGAATAGTTGAGAGAAAATCTTATTCCGTATCCTTGTACTTTTTGGGTTTAAGTTTGCAAAAGTATCAGCTTTCGAAATTTATATCGGACAAAATATTAGTTTTAATAAAAGTTGTAAATATTACTCATCAATCAAAAAACATCATTATTTTCAGACAATCTAAACCATTCAAGTCAATCTACAATACTTACAGAAAATATTCAATATTCTTATTTAGGTTACACATTTTCAAAGAGTTTACAGCATTTTCAGACGATCAACAACATTTTCAGATAACCTACAACATTTTCAGGCAATCAATACCATTTTAAGACTATCTATAGCATTTTCAGATAATCAGAAACATTTTTAGATAATCAGAAACATTTTCAGGCATTCTGAAACACTTTCAGGCAATCTACAATACTTTAAGGCAACTTGCAACATTTTTAGGCAATTTATTATACTTTCAGGCAATCTGAATCATTTTCAGGCAACCTGAAACATTTTGATGTAATCTGAAACATTTTCAGACAATCTACAATACTTTAAGGCAACTTGCAACACTCTTAGGCAATCTACACCATTTTTGGATGATGTACAATCTTTTTAGGCACTCTGAAACATTATTACAAGCACAATATTTTCAGACAATCTACGCCATTTTCAAACAATCCACGACATCTTCAGTCAATCTACAATATTTTTAGGTAAACTGCAACATTTTCAGGGTATCTTAAATACTTTCTTTTTATGTGCATTATTTGAAAATTTGGTACATTATCTGAAAATTGTATAGATTGCCTGAGAATGTTGTAAATTCTTTAAAAATGATGCAAATTGTCTGAAAATATTGTAGATTGTCTGTAAATTGTTGTGAACTATTTGAAATTGTTATATGTAAGATAATTATAGATTATCTAATAATGTAATGTGTCTGAAAAATATGTTCATACTGTGAAATGCCTGAAAACGACCTAATTCTCAGAATATATTTTGAAAAATATGTCTGAAAATATTATAAACTGTCCGAAAATGCTATAAATTGTCTGACAAGGTTCTAAATGGTCTGACAAATTTCTAATTTATGTGAAAAAGTTAAAGATTGTCGAAAAATGCTATAGAATGTTTAAAAATGTTATAGATTGTCTGACAAGGTTCCAAATTGCCTGAAAACATTGTAGATTAAATGTGTGGAAATGTTGTAGATTATCCGAAAATGCTAAAGAGTGTTTAAAAATGTTACAGATTGTCTGAAATTATTGCAAATTGTCTGAAAATGTGGTAAATTGTCTGACAAGATGTAAATTGACAGAAAATGTTGAAAATTGTTTGAAAATTATGTAAACTATTTGAAACTATTGTAAACTATCTGAACATGTTAAAAACTGTCTGAAAATGTCGTAAATAATTTGAAAATAATATAGATACTTATTAAGAATCTTGTAAATTGTCTGAAAAAATTGTGCATTATCATAAAATGTTGTCTAAAATTATTAAAAAAAATTGTAAATCGTTTTATAGTATTATAGATGGTTATTATGACTTATAAATTATATATGACTTATAATCTATGACATAATTTTTTATTGAAAATGAGGCTTCTCACGATATCTGAAAATATTGCAGATTATCTGAAAATGTTAAGCATTATTTGAAAAAGTTGTAAATTTTGTGAAAATGTAGATTGTCTAACAATATTTTCAACTGAGGTTAAAAAGTGTTGCTAACTGTCTGAAAATGATGTAAATTATCTGACAAAATTCTAAATTGTCTAAAAATGTTAGAGATTGTATGAAAATGTTAAATATAATCAAAAAACATTGGCGATTTTCTGAAAATGTTGTAAACTGTCTAAAAGTGTTATGATTTAAATAAAACTCTTATAAATTGTCTGAAAATGTTCTAAATATGTCTGAAAATATTGCAGTTATTTGAAAATGTTGTAAAATGTATGAAAATGTTACTTATTATTTGGCAATGTTATTTTTTGTCTAAAAATTTTGTAATCTGTCTGAAAATATGGTAAACTGTCTGAAGAAGTTTCATATTGCCTCACAAAGTTAAGAATTATTTAAAAATGTAATAAATTGTGTGAAAATATTGTAGGTTGTTCGAAAATGTTGTAAATCGTAAACCTCTTCTTTTACTTCTGCTTTTGACTTCTTCCAATTTAACCCTTTCCACTCGCGAATTACAGAATTAATACGCATTTGCCGCCGGAGCGGCGGCATCCGAGTGGAAAGGGTTAGAATTCACAAATTATAAATTACTATCACTAACCTCATCATTTATCGAAGCCGCCTCAGGCCTGGCAAGTGTATTGACAGCAAAAACCACCACCAGAAACAGGCACCATCCCGGATGAGCAAATTTCACACCCCTAAATCCTCCTTTTCGATCTGGACAACAGGCTCGTCTCGACAAATTGACCGAATGTCGCAACGGCATTTTGACTACGAAATAATTTTTTCCGAAAAAATTCCAAAAATCGCTAATTTAGACGCTATGAGTGTCCCGACATTTATAGATCGATGTTCGATGATCGAGATTAAAATTAGAACATTGTGGACAACACTAGGGGAGGGAATAAGTTTGGGTAAAATTGGGTAATTTTTTTTATGTTTAAGTCACGTTTTAAAATAAGTCACGGGTTTTAGTTTAAGTACAGTCAAGTCTATTTTCCACTTTGGTTGCCTAAAATCATTCCTTCAACTAAAATTTTGTTTTAAGATTGTCTTTTTTACCATTAACTAATTTTTTTATGAACACACTTAAAAACACTTTGGTATTGATTATTTTTTTATTAAAACATCACTTTTGGTTTCGTTTTTGTTTTATTAAAATTTTAACTAATTTTTTTAAAATTTTTAGTGAGTTATTAACGAGTGATTCCAATCCGGTCGAGTTACCGATCTGAAATGAGAAATATAGAAAAATAATTAGTACATTTAAGAAAAAAAAATTTTTTAGGTTGTGAAATAATGGTAATGGATTGTTGGTCACATGGGTAAAAGATATATATATATATATATATATATATATATATATATATATATATGTGTGTGTGTATGTATATATAATTAGATGTGTTAACAACTTCAGAAAATAACGTAAAATTGTTTCAAATAAATTGAGCTATTTTTGTAAACTTAGATAATCACACATACATAAAAACAAAAGTCACACACACACACATATATATATATATATATATATATATATATATATATATATATATATAAATACACTAACTGATCCGACGTTGTCCTGTACCCATGTCTACAATTCAAAAGTTCCAATTTTTTGAATAACCAATACTGATATTTACATTTTTCAATATGTAATTCGATATACATAATTACTTAAGTTCATATTTGTAGTGGATCAATTTGTCAAATCCTGTTCACATGTGCTCTATTCAACCTACGATCAACAAAATTATTGCAGAAAATGGAGAGGAAAAAAGCGTGTGTCCTGTGAATTTTTTTACTGTGCTCCAATTTGCTTTATATTTTGGAAATGTGCTAATCTTAATCTTAAATTCAGAAGTGAAAACAATTTGCACTCCTTCACCATCCAGGCATTAATTGGATTATAACTCTTTTAATTCTGATTGAATCAGAACTTGTAATATAATATTTTAAAGGTTATTAAATGACCTACAACTTTCTCTATCATAAATTTTACCGTAACTTCTCTTATTTTGAAATGGCAAAGGATTGAAGGACTCGAAAGACACTCTGGCCGCGCACTCCTTAAACAATCATAACTCTATCAATATTTGTGTAACAAAAAAATGATAAAAAGCAATAATTAGTCAGAAAAAGACAACGAGACAAAGATAATGAGAAATTGGTTGTTTTTTAATGGATTTTTTTCATGAAATCATGAGTTTTTTGAAAAGCGTTTGTACTAAAGTTATGGTATTTTCTAGAATTCATCAAGATCTCTTAAACTAAGTTAATTCTAGATGGAGTACGATTATTCTTAATTTTGATAAAAATGGCGCTCATAAACTATTTGATTTAAATGAAAAAAACTTTGTATGCGTCTTTTATTTGAATGATAGCTCACTCATTTTATACGCAGAAGTACTCATTTTATTTTAAAGCTTATTTTGAGCACTATAAAACCCCATTTTCATATCTAGCCTAATATTGTTCCTAGAGCAATTTATAAAACACCGATTTATTAGGATTTTAATTGTATTAATTTTGTTCATTACATGATTTTTGTTAAAATGTATATATTTAGAAATATTTGCGAAAAACAATGAAAAACGGAAATAAAACAAATTTTTAGCAGCCAGTAACTTGAAAAGTATTTGCTTTTTTTGAAAAACATTATAAAACATTTTTCTCTTTTCGATATCCGACGTTATTTTGAATGAGATACAATTGCACCTAATTCCAAAATTTCATGCAAATTGGAACACATTAAAAATATTCAGATCCAAAATGCTCCATTGTCTTGAGTAAATATTTCGTATCCAATGCCAAACATATGATTTTTTGACACAATGAAACTTCTAAATAATTGTTTGAATAAGTAAATTATTTTTGCATAGTGATTTAGTAAAGTAAGGCAAAACACGACTGCTTTAAAAGTTAAAAAATAATAATCTGTCCAAGTGAATTATAGGCTAAGTTTGATGTGCTATCATTGACAGACGCATGCGCAGACTGCACCTGTCTGATGTTGACTGTAAATGTTATATTATTTTAATTTTTGGCACATCTCAGCTGCTTTTCGGCAATAATAATGTAGACATTTAATTTTTCTTATTCATAATCATAAATATATTATATTTTAATATTGTCTTAGCCTATAAGTGAATGGAAATGTTTGACAAATGACAGTCTTGATTTGTTTTTAATGTCAAACTATGCCTTAAATATTTTCAATGTCAAACAATGATAAGCGGTTTTTTGTAATTTTTTCCATTTATTTCTACAAACTAGCTATATTTCCATTAATCTAAAAATTCTAGAAAATTTCTCGAACAAAGTTCAGGAAGATTCATGAAAATCCGAATTATAGTTTAGGAGGATATCCTTTCATACACCATTACAGAAAAATTTTATATATAAGATATATATATATATATATATATATATATAATACATATATAATGTTAATTATCTCATCATTTGTATGTGTCGGAATAATTTAAGTTGTATCGTGACCTTTGCGGTTTCCAATGATTTCCTGCATTTCAAATGTTTTATTCTCTATCGACATCCGAGATATATGTATGTATATATATAAATCTAATATTAATTATTTATCTAATAGTATTGTCTTTTTTCTCGTCGCCTTTTGCGAATCAATTGTCATGATCAAAACATACAATATATAATTAAAGTATGTATTTAATTCCCGGAACGGAGACAGACACTTCATAAATATTAATCAAGCACGTGCATTAAATAATAAAAAAAATTGAACCAATCAAAATTATATAAATAATAAATATAATTTGGGAAATTGTCATGTCTCTTAATGAAAAGCCTCGTTTGGTAATACTCACAAATTTACAAATTTCTGTCAAACATAAAAAAATCCATATCTTTACGTTTCAAAGGTTTCCTAACATATTCCATTATTTCATTAGGGGGAGGGGGGTGTGATAAAAAGTCACGAAATATCACGTGGGGGATGGAGGGGTATAGTAAGATATCACGTGTATTTATTTTTTATTTGAATTTCGAAAAAAAATCCAAACATTTTCAAAAAAATTTACCATTTTTACCATAACTGAAAATACACGTCAGGTTTGGTGGGGGAGGGATGGGGGTAATTTTGAATATCACCACGTATCACCAAGAAGAAGGAGGGGGGGGTAAAAAAATCCTTAAAAAGTCGATCACGTGATTAATGAACGCCCCCTAAAAAAAATTGGATGGAAGTATATACGTGTGGATACAATGTTTAATCCACAATTTCGAGAGTACCGATCAACCGATTTGAATTATTCAAAAAGTATTCGATTTCTATTGATGTGAAACGTAGTTTTTGACAAAGGCAGGTTCAGCCGTTTCGGAGATACAGAGAAAAAATTGCAATAAAGAACACTTTTTTGAGAAAAGGGGCCATTCCATTTGAACAGATATTACAGCTGCTCAAAGAATGAGATTATATCGCCAGCGAAAAAGTAAAAAAAATACAACCAGTCAATGAATGTATGTTAATTTTAATTACATGAAGTTCTTCAAACACAATTACATGATGAGTGAAAACATACAGTGGACATCAGAAATCATTTTAGAGATATGGTTCTTTCAGCAAATTTCTTGGGATCCTTATTTTGATCCATAGAATCCAAAAATCATATGTGCCTAAATGACACTTAAATCGACTTAATATATATCCTATTAATATTATCTTTATATTATATCCTCGCAAAGTTCAAGCCTAGTCCTTCATGGATCAGTGGTGCTACTAAGTTCTAGGTTTTCCTCAAGCGTTCTTGGCGTCTCCTCTATTATAAAATTATAAAATTGTGTTCGTGATATGTTATTGAATGATTGTCCATTTTTCGATAATGATATCGTAATTGCGCACAATTAATACCTTATACGGAATAATTTGCATGACGAATTTGCACGCATCACGGACTATTAGGGTCCGAAAGACGGACGGACGACTGCGATTAGTCACACGCGAATCATTATATGCAAATGTTAGACACATTTATTATAATATATTGTACACATTTACAATAATATATATATATATATATATATATATATATATATATATATATAGATCTATCTACATCTAAATATACATAAAATTCCCGTGTCGTATTTTGTAGCAATAGTCCTCCAAAACGGTTTGACCAATTTTGATAAAATTTTATAAGCACCTTCAGTATGACTGACAATAGAACAACATCTATTTTTCATACCACAAAGTGGTAAGGATTGGCCACCCTCAAATTGTTTTTAAAAAATTTTCGACCAATTTTTTTTTATAATTCGAAAATAAAAAAAACACATACAGCCCTAAATTTTCACCCAACAACTATACAACGGTCATTTCAGTAACCTTGTGATTTTTGTTTTTATTAAATTGAGATTGAGATTGAGATTGTCTTACTTCTTCGATTGTGATTCTTAGACTTCTTGATCCACTTACTGATTGTCTTTATAAAAAACTTATTTTTAATTAAGGGTTGCCCACCCAAAACTTTTGAATATCCAAACGTAGCATGCTTTGCAGTGGGTAAACCGTCCTTATAATTTCATATATTCCTAAAATTTGTGTTAGCTGCCTCTTTCACTTATATACCACATACTTCAACAATCACAATCAAACAGTTATTTTTTATACTAAAACTAAGACAGTAGAAATGTTTATAGCGCTAAAAAATGATTTGGCGGGCCGGCTAGTATATATAAACAAAAAAATAACTACTAATAAAAATTTCTACATAAACTTCTGCAATATTTTTATTTAAAAAAATACGTATCGACTGACGAGGAAACTGAAACTCGACGTGAGGTCATGGAATAAAATTTCTACGTCATTCAAAGAAATACAAAAGCCGCCTCGATGATCACCCAAGAAAACACTTCCAGAGCCTTATTAAAAGGGAATTTTATTCTACAAAAAACTATCAATCTCAAAATGACATTAGATGATTTTGTACTTGTAAAACACAAAATTTTAGTTGATTTTTATTCCTATCCATTTTGGGTAGATAATTGTGTTAGCTATCAATAGATGGCGCTGATTATATGATGTAGATAATAAAATAGTAGTTAATGTATAATAACAGTAGTAGTGAATATAGAGATCATAATTAAAGTCAATGAATAAACTAGTGGTGTATGGCATCGTGCCTTGAGGCAAATTGCTGGAACTTTCCGTACCGTAATGAAATATTCAAGGAATATTAAATGTTTTCA